CCCTTTCGCCACCCGAGTTCTCGTTGATCACTCAAGTTAACTGGTCGTGCTGCTCCAGAGGACGTCCTCGCCTAGGCCAACTACCACCCACCAACATCAGCCGGCGAAGACAGAAGAGCGCATTATAGTCCAGTCCAGTTAGATCTGACTCTATGTTAAAAGTGAAAAAATTCGCAACCGGCGTTTCTCACCGGGATTCGTTAGGGTTCGATGGTAGGAATGAAATGATAACAAATGCCACAGTTGAGTCAATTGGAATTTCAACAATTGAGCCCTTTGAAATTAGGAAAATCGGTTTTTCGGCTACAGATTGAAAAGCGTACATTTTATGAAAAAAGTTTCAAACAAAAGTTGTAGGTCCTTGCAAGACCTTCAATTTGACATATATAACATTGGAAATCGGTTCATTTGATTATTAAAAACGCCTCAATTGTCAATAACAACAAAAGGAACTTACAGACATCGCAAGAATATCTAAGTGGGCTCAAATCAAAGATAATCACTTCTACTTTTGTAAAATAACATATTTTTATAATAGATTACAAAATAAGAAGCAATTATCTTTGATTTGAGCCCACCTGGATATTCTTGCGATGTCTGTAAGTCCCTTTTGTTGTTATTGACAATTGAGGCGTTTTTAATAATCAAATGAACCGATTTCCAATGTTATATATGTCAAATTGAAGGTCTTGCAAGGACCTACAACTTTTGTTTGAAACTTTTTTTCATAAAATATACGGTTTTCAATCTGTAGCCGAAAACCCGATTTTCCTAATTTTAAAGGGCCCAATTGTTGAAATTCCAATCGACTCAACTGTGGCATTTGTTATTACTTCATTCCTACTATCGAACCCTAACTAATCCCGGTGAGAAACGCTGGTTGCGAATTTTTTCACGTTCAAAACTAATTTGACTGGACTATTAGATAAGTTATTCATTTAAGTATCGTCGAGCCAGTCGCGTTTCGAGTATTAGTACTATTTCCCCTTTTTGACCTCGTGTACTGAACTCATACCTTGAGCGAGCCTCGTAGCCATGCAATTATACCTATAACTAGTGAGGAATAGAGTCTAAGCAATAATCACTTGTAATTCATTATTCTTTATTTATTCCGCTTCAACGGTGGCACCCATTATACTATAATATACGTTACTATTTTATTTAATCATTGCTTTCATATTTATTTATGCCCTTTTCTTCCTCACAGTGAATAAAAATCTATATATGGCTGTCAAATTGTGTATGATTAATTAAAACATCTAAATGTTGCGACGGACGACTGACCCCGGTGTGGGGAAAAGCCGCAAATCACCTGCCGTCCAATAAATTTTTTACAGGACCACCTTACCTGGTCGATTACTCCCAGAGGGGATATTGGGCCCGTCGTCAGTGCGAGCTTGCTGTAGACTCGCTGACTCACCGTTGAACTCCGTTAACTTCTGCTGAAATCCGCGAAAAGTAAGGTCGCGAAATAAATAGGCTATGATGTCAATTAGTTACATTATTTAATTCAAGGCCTAAATGGCCGGAAAAACACTTCAAATTGCCCAACGGACGATGATTTACAATATTACGCGACGAGGCACAAGTTAGACCTAACTTTACTTCCGACTCCTTCCGAAGTGTGCGCTCAGCGCTCGCGTCGATCGTATCTCGTGATGCGAGCCTAATCGGCCGAGTCAATATGGCCACTGCGCGCGCGATCTATGCGACGATGCCGAGTGCACGTGTACCGACGCGACGTGGCACTCGCATGCTGATCCAGGCGATGCGTTTCGTAATCTGCCGCGAGCAATCTGCCCTGATGCTACCGGCCTGGATGTCGAACGTATACCCGTACACCAATACTCTGCCTGCTGCGTATCGCCGCTGCGATACTCGTCAGCCAAGTTCGAACTCACACACACAAGCATACACCCGCGACCTGGCAGTTGCGTCGACCAATAACCTCGCGAATAATCTTAAAAACTAACCCCAAATCTTCGGCTCCGTTTTTCGACTACAAATTGGCCCTCGTCCGGGCGTCGATGATCTGCGTGCGACGACGATATGTTATCCGGCCCACGTCTGGTCGACGATTACAAAATGTTCTGCACTTGTGCACTGACTTGCACAGGCTGAACTGGGCGAAACTCGCACTGGTGCACTGACTTGCACAGTCCCGTCTGGGCGACTTGCCTCACGGGCGAACTCTTCACGGGCACACACGAAACAACACGCCCTTCTGGACGACAGCACACACGCTTACTTGCGTCGACCTCATTCTCGTCAGCTTCTACGAGCACAAAACACCGTGACCTTTTACTTATCACTCGCACTGGTTTAGATATAACCTCACACGAAACGCTGTGCAAAATAATCACTGCTGTGCGAATCACACACGTGTCTCCACTTGCTGCGTGCCCGAGCTAATCTGCCGCGATCTATTGCGCGTCGGCCTATCTGCTCTTGCGCCGCTAATTGTCTCTCTCGCACGCATACGCCGTCGCATGTGCCGTGGCTCACTGCTCGGTGCTGCTGTTGCCTTCGCGTGGACCTGTAAATCGCGAAAACATACACGCACACACACATACTCGCGCGATGTATCCGAGAGTTCGCGGCTCGGTGCTTATGTACCTTGTGCCTCGTCACAAAGTGCTTGCGTTTGTTACCAGACAGATTCTGACAAAAATGCCACCACTCTTATTTTGATTGGCTCATCGATTCTAGTTGGGTTCTACCACACAGGTATACTTCTAAGGACCTGTGGGCTTCATCGAAGAGATTTAAATGGCGACTGCGACCTCAATTTGCATATTCCAGAGTGAAAAACTTTAGAAAAAAGGTGAAAAAAACAGAGTATTCTCTGTATTGTCCAAAACATTGTTTTTTTTATTTTTTAATGAATTTTTTTATAACACAGGTTTAAGGTACCCCCCCCCCCCTCAATTTGATTGTTTTGAAAACTTTTAATTGCTGTAGAACAAGAGTTAAAGGTTGTCACAGATTCTCTGAAATTGCAAGAAAAAAAGGTTTGATTTTTTCTCAATTCTTTTATATTTACACATACCAGACCTAATCTATCGAATTGGAGCAATTAGATTCAGGCCCGAAAACCTGGAAGTATATCCAGGGAAAATCGTACATATTTGGTTGACACTTTAACTTGTAAAATGAAGACATACGATTTTACTACGAAAAACCTCCCATGACTTTCAATACTCACCTAATCAAAATACAGTGGAAATCACATAATTCGAAGTCATATAATTCGAATTATCGCATAATTCGAAGCGATCGCCCGGTCCCAGTCCCGTCCTATATAAAAAAATGTTAAAAAATGTCAGACAATTCGAAGAAAATGTCACATAAATCGAATTTTTTTTTTCAAAGTTTTTCGAATTATGTGATTTTTAACTTTAAATTTAACACTTATTTCGAATTATATGATAAATTAAATCCGAAAAATACGTTGAATACGTAAGTATCGATAATCGTTTAGCTAACGATCATTTGTCAAAACATTGTTTACAAATATCATTTCAAGTATCTTATTCATATTTGCCGAGTATCAGTCGAGCTGTTCAGTCAATTTATATTCTGTAACGATGCCGAAGTATACATCTTTGAGTTTAGAAAAGAAAGTTAAAATAATAGCTGAAGTTAAAAAAGGCGCGAAAAATAAAAAACTTATCGCAGAAGAATACGGTATGCCACAATCAACACTCTCAACAATTTTGAAAAATGAGCAAAAAATTCTTAGTACAGTCGATCAGGGAAAGCAATCGAAAAATAATTTAAGAAAAAGAATGAAGCCGGTTCGTCAAAAATAGATGTACTTCAGGCATCAAGAATGGCAAAACATGCTTTGAAAAAATAACTTCTACAACCATAAGTAATTGCTTCAGGAAAGCTGGTTTTATAAACGAATCTGCAAGTTTAAATTCTGATATTCCTACAACTCTGTAAGTACCAGAATTCTATTCCAGAATTCTAAGTATTCCGTTTGAAGAATATATTGCGTGCGATGACAATGTTTATATTTGTGGAAAAGTTTCGGACACAGACATTCTACAAGAAGTAGCAGCGGGACCAGAGTCTGAGTCAAGTAGCGAAGATGAAGTTGAAACTGCGGAGCCTCCATGTACTTATTCTCAAGCTCATGTGTACATGACAAAATTAATTAAACATTTTGAGTCTCAATCAGAAACAGAAAAAATTTTATCAAATTTTAGTAATGCAGAACATTTTATTGTACAGAAAAAAATAAGTTCTCTTAAACAGTCCACTCTTGATAGTTACTTCAAAAAATAAATAAAAAATATTTTCCGTTCTATAAGCTTTATTTTTATTTAAGTGTAAAATGTATGAGTGTCACACAATTCGAAAAAATTCGAATTATATGGCTGACATATAATTCGAATTATCACATAATTCGAATTCTAACGCCAGTCCCCCCTGGACTTCGAATTATGTGATTTCCACTGTATATAGATCTAAGTCGTCATGAGTTTTAGGTTTCAAACCATTTAATAATGTACTGTTTCGGCACGATTCAACCAAGAAACACCTTTGCTTGTATTAAAAGTATGCAAATTCACTATTGCGACTCTATAACTATTTGCACTCACTCGCAATAACTTTATGACGTTAACCGCGAAAATTGTGCCATAAGCTACATTCTTTACGAGCAATCCAATGCTTGATGGTACCTTTCATGCGCACGAGCATGAAAGAGCTGTGAAAATTTGCACAGCTATGATAAAGCGATCCAAATGTATTGGCTACTGTCCAATGAGTAATGTTACTTGAATGAAAATATATCACACAGTTACATGCAAAACCATAAAGTGAAGATTCTTTTTGTCACAAGGAGAATTTTAAGTTGTCATAACAGAATGATTCTCCATAAGTTTATGTCTCAATTTTTTCTCCGAATATAGAAATTAAAATTTATCTGTTAATTAAGTTAATAATATTATATGTCTAAGAAAATATATCTTACAGTAAATATTTTACAGGTTACTTTACAAAGTCCTTTTGAGGAGTTTGAAAACATTACTTTAGATGGTCAATGGAGTATTCATAATGGTTTTGAGATCCTCAAACTTCCTTTTTTACATGTATGCTCGGAGAATTTTAATACTCATGGTATTTATGTTCATGTATTTGGGACTCTGTGCTTTATAATTGTTTATGCAATTCCAGGTAATAATTTATAAATTAGACTCTTTTTATGAAATGATTTTTAATCGTATTCACGATTCTGCCGTTTTTGTATATTGACAAACAATTGATTTTTTGGAATTCTCCAACGATCTGTTATGCAGCAATTCAAACTCATAATTTTATGAGTGTTGATTTTCCACGTGAGGCTAAGATAGGACGATGATTTTCAAGATGATTTAAAATACCAATTGATCCAAAAAATCAATTGTTTGTCAATAGACTCTTTTTATATAGTAAACCGTGACAAGCTAAAAAATGACATCGGAAACAAAATATATGGCCGATTCTCTGTGAAATCGAATGGCCAAAAAATTTTTTTTTCTACAAATATGAAAAACTTGCTGTTCCCGATGTCAGAAATGTCCCCAAATTTTATTAGAATTTTTGGGACCATCTATCACTCTTTTTCAGAGGCCCGAAGTTGGCCATTTTAGGGTTTTTTTGAAATTCATGAAAAATCACAAATATTCAAATAATTCCTGGATCAGGGTAGAATGATTCAAAAGTAAAAGTGCCCAGCAACTTTTTTGTTGGAAATTGTCCAAATTTTCAGAAAAAAAATATGCCAAAGTGATTGGAGCCACCTAAATACATAATAGTGGGAAAACAAAAAAAAAACACAAAACAAGAAATCTACTCGAGTTCGAACCGGACTTTCATTTCCTAAACTATGTGAAAAGCTTCCTAAAGATGTCAACTAATGCCTGATAAAGTTTTGTAATGGGTCTTAAAGTTTAACGCAATGAAGACAACAATGTGTGGCGAAAAACATGCAAAAAAGGCCTGAAAATTGCTGTTTTTGGTGATTTTAGGCATTTTGGACCTATTTTTGACCTTTTTTGCATGTTTTTCGCCACACATTGTTGTCTACATTGCGTTAAACTTTAAGACCCATTACAAAACTTTATCAGGCATTAGTTGACATCTTTGGGAAGCTTTTTACATAGTTTAGGAAATGAAAGTCCGGTTCGAACTCGAAAAGATTTCTTGTTTTGTGTTTTTTTTTTTATGTTTTCCCACTATTATGTATTCAGGTGGCTCCAATCACTTTGGCATATTTTTTTTCTGAAAATTTGGACAATTTCCAACAAAAAAGTTGCTGGGCACTTTTACTTTTGAATCATTCTACCCTGATCCAGGAATTATTTGAATATTTGTGATTTTTCATGAATTTCAAAAAAACCCTAAAATGGCCAACTTCGGGCCTCTGAAAAAGAGTGATAGATGGTCCCAAAAATTCTAATAAAATTTGGGGACATTTCTGACATCGGGAACAGCAAGTTTTTCATATTTGCAGAAAAAAAAATTTTTTGGCCATTCGATTTCACAGAGAGTCGGCCATATACTCTTATAGAATTGTAAAATGAAAACCCTGAAAATTTCATCCTTCTAGGTCTATTCTTCATGGATCTACATTTATTTCCTGATTGTGTAGTACCGAATCAGGCATTATTTGTTGGACCACCCTGACGAACCATCGTTGACTCGCCGAGAATAATATTAGAGTGAGAAGACAGAAAGTAAACGTTAAGGTGGATTGGAAAACCACTTTTGACTCCGATCACATTGTAATAGCAATTAGGGCTGTGCGAGTACTCGAAAAAACTCGACTCGTCGAGTTCGAGTTTTTCCATCGAGTTCGAGTCGAGTACTCGATATTTTGAGTACTAGAGTTTTTTCGGGTACTCGAATTTTTTCGAGTAATCGAGTTTTTCGAGTACTCGCAATATATTTAAGTTTTAAGTAAATAAATGATGAATTAATAATCTCTAAACCACCGCTCTTTGTGTGTACATGCTTATAAATGTGATATTTGCAGTGGATTGGATTGGAAGAAGAAAATAATTTAATAGTACCGCACTTCATCACACTTATAACCAAGTACACACAAAAGGAGGAGTCTAGCGACTGTTAATTCATCATTTAATTACTGAAAACTTAAATATATTGCGGGTACTCAAAAACTTCGATTACTCGAAAAAATTCGAGTACCCGAAAAAACTCGAGTAAAACTCGAAAACTCGGGTACTCGCACAGCATTAATAGCAATAGAATGTTAGTATCACTTAGAAAAAGCGAAAAGCCACAAAGAAGTAGGCGCATACGAATATCTTCAGTTAACGCATTAAGTTCGAAGTTTGAATTTTGTAAAAACAATTTCATCATACTTTGAAAAGAAATCACAGCAAAATTTCTCGGTACCGAGTTGACCGATTGGGCTGAAATTTTCAGAGCTTGTTTCACACATTAACAAGAGATTCTTTGTCAAATTTTAGCCTTTTAGGTGCCTTAGAAGCAAAAATACAGTCATAGGAAGATTGAAACGTTATGTTAAATTTTTTTTGTTCTTTTTCTATCTTTGTGTAGCTGTACGTTGCGTAATTTTGCTGCCATTAAAACACACGAGTAATCAATTTTTTGTCATTTAAAAGTGCTTTTAACTATATAACTTTGTATCGGATTTTGCTTCCTCCTAGAGGAAGCTTTGTGATAGGCGGCAAAATCGAGTTTTGATTCAGAAGTTGTAGGACAAGTTCGGTTACATATTTTGAATCTTCATTGAATTTTGAACAAATGTCTGAATGAGTGTGTGTGGGTATGTGTGTATGTATGTACGTGTGATAGTATTGTGATGAGTAGCAATCCCACCTTCACTGGCAGCGTCGCCTGTCGGTCTCACAAGGCACTATTGCGAGGGTCTCTGTTACCGACGAGTAAGTGCGCCTGCACTATAGATAGGCTTGTTGGCCGTAAAGTCGGAGTTCGACGAAGGCACGCGTCCGAGTGTGGGCGAGTTCGTGCAGGTCGAGTTCGACCGGTATTTCTGTTGGGCTTATATGCCGAGAGGTCGCGGGATTTCCCGACGAGTGCTTGTTGGACAAGTTGCCTTCGTTTAGGCGAGCCGACAGATCGACGAGCGAGTCAGTCGTGCGTAAAACAGTCGCAACTGCGACGTGCCTTCCCCCTCCTACTCCGGAGCAACGCAGCGGCCAGCGGTCTGATCAGCCGCCGATTCCGCTCCCTCCTCTACCTACCCTCCAGCTCAGCCGGGACTCCGGTATAAAAGGAGCGAATTTTCGGAGCCGCGTTGCATTACGCTTCGCAGTCTCTGCCTAGCAACATTCGCTCTCAGCTTTGTGTGCAATTTTTGACTCTTGGACTTAGTCTAGCGTACGGAGGATATCCCGGCGTTATTCTGTTAGCAGAGAGTCGAAATTCGAACTTAGCCGCAGACGCATTAATGATACTTAGTCGTTGGCGCATTAATGACACTTAGCCGCAGACACATTAATGATACTTAGTCTTTGGCGCATTAATGATACTTAGTCGCTGTCGCATTAACGACACTTAGCCGCTGGCGCGTTATTCGAACATAGTCGCGGACGCGATAGCGGAACATAGTTGCATTTTAATTAATTGGACTTAATCACTTTCGCGCTAATCGAACATAGCCGTCTACGCTGCCAAACCGTGCAGCTTTTCGAACGAGGATACCACAGTCGCTCGTCGCCGTCGTGCCGCACTCGGGAGAATATCCCGGTGCCAACCTCCGGCGTACAAGTGCCGGTAACCCCTCTGCCCTCTCCTCAGTCGACCTCGCGTTCAGGTGTCAACTTGGGCGGATGTCCTTTTGACCCCTGTCGCGAGCGAGACCGCTGAGAGTAAAGAGTCGCGCTTCCGAGTCTCGCGACTTACGAGTCAATGACCCGCCTTGCAAGCTCCGCTTGCGTCTTGAACGAGCAGAGCACGTGCAGCGACGAGTATCCGCAAGGCTGCGGTACTCCGTCGACGTGACCTCTCCCGACGTAAGCCCTCCTTGTAAGAGTTGAGGCAACGTCGGACCTCACCAACAACCAAGTTGCTGTTCATCGTGGCTCCTCCTTCGACCTGATACGAAGATCGGTACGTGCACCTCCTTCGCGATTCATCGCGTTCATCGGGAATGGAACTCGCCGACTCCCTGCCTTATCGACGCTCCGCGGACACGCCCAACTCCGTTCCGTGTACCGCCGACTCCGCTTAGCAGCGCGAGCTATAGCAGAACTCGCGGCCGGGCCGTAACAAATTGGTGACAGCGGTGGGATTTCCGAAGAAAGTGCACGATGAGTAAGAATCCATTAAAACGCAGTAGAGCATCGCGGAGCAAACCGCGATCGCGATCATCGAGTAATGTATGGATGGTTGACGCCGTAGATAACGAGCCGAAGCCAAAGACAAAAGCTCGAGGATCTACCCCCTCGAGAGCCGACGACGATGACGGCGTGATTGATAATTCGCGATTTTTAAGGATTACCGAAGCGATAAAGCTTATTCCTGAGTTTGACGGTTACAATATGAATGTGAATCGATTTGTTGAGGAATGCACGGTCGCGGCGGAACTCGTTAATCCTCTAGATCATAAGCACTTCTTTGTACTTGTACGTTCGCGTCTCGCAGGCGACGCTCGCACTCGCGTGCAATGTAATACGACCGGTACTCTCTCCGATTTATTGACCGAACTAAAAAGTATGTTCGAGCCCAGTGATAGATTGGAGCAACTGCAATCGGAACTAGCTCACGCGTATCAGAAAAAGGGAGAGTCCGTTAACGATTTTGGCAAGAGACTGGCTAATTTGGTAAGGCGCGCTAGCGATGTAATTAAGACGTCGTTCGATGATGACGTGACGCAACGGAACCTAATTCAAGCTACGCATAAAAGCGCAATTAAATGCTACGTCAACGGCCTCACCGAAGACGTCCATCATAGGATGGTAGTAAACATTAATCTCGCGACTCTTGATGAAGCCATTCGGGCGGCGGGAGAGGTAGAAGCAGACCTGACAATTCGGAGATCGTTACTGTTAGCGAACAAAGACCCACCGACGCGCGTGCACGCGATAGCTTCCGAGGAAAAGGTAGAAGCACCAAGATTATGCTTCAAGTGCAAGCAACCGGGTCATTTTGCTCGCGCTTGCCCGTCAGGCCCGTCAGGCCCTCGC